TCATATGGTGCACCTGCTGCAGTGGCACTGCAAAGACATGACATGCCTTCTCTGAGAGATACACTCAACAATGCGTCGTGTGAGTGCTGCTGTTTTCCACAACACTTGTGAAGAGACAGATTTAATTTTTGAACATGCACAGTGTGCCCAACTCCATCTTGGCTCAAGTGGCAATGTGTAAAGGGCAACCCATGGGTTTCTGAATGGCCTCCACATTGTGTTGACTAAATTAGCATGTCAGATTTGAATGGAAAAAATCAGTCAATGTCCTATAAGAATTTTTAAAAATAGCTTCAACTTTTAATCTAAAGTGTTCCCCCCCCCCCCGAAGGTTGCCAATCAAAGAGGTTTTTGGAGTTCTGGAAGCAAAGCTCAATTCACTGTAAATAAGGAGAAAGCAGGCTTCCAGGAACAGCTTTCACGCCGGGAGAGATAGATCTATGCTGGCTGCTTGCCCAGCAATTCAATAGTCCCTTAAGTGAGGCAGGGAAAGGGAAAGAGAGAGAAGGCACAGTGAAACTCTGCTGTTAACAATATAATGGGCTAAAGATCACCTCCTACCTCAATACAGGTCATCAGCTTTGGGCTGCCGGTAGTAAGGGAAAAATTAAAAAAGAGAAGTCTGGACACAGTTGTGTGTCAGTGAGAGCCAAGCTCCCATCATAACTTTTCAGCATAAGAGAGAGATTACATCATTCAGAGTCACAGACTGTGCACTTTTAGCACCCGAATAAAACAACACACCTTCAATGACGTGTCATTTGCTTATCAATGTAAATGTCTGATCTCAGAATGATTTTGAGATTCTCCAAGCATCTTGTTATTGGGAAGGAAAGAATACTGTACATGTATTATTAGTGAACCATCTGATTTCAGTATTTAGGATTTCTGGGTTATGAGACAGTCATGTGACACTGATTAAATGTATTTCAATCCTGCCTCAGCCCCAAAGTCACTGAGAATGTGGACTCTTTTGTTTGGGTTATGCACTGTTTCTCAAATGACAAATTGATGATGGTATGTTGGCCATTGCACAGAGCAGCAGATTATGTATCATAATAATTAGAGAACAGAGAAATGATTAGAAAGCAAGAATCTACCTGATTCTATGCCCAAAACATAAGACAAAAATCAATTTTCTTAAATTGGAAAATGCTAGGTTAACTTTTAAAAATTATCACAGCACACCTCTACACTTCCTAGTTTCATCAGGATTTGCAAGAGATACGACTACGACAAAGGCAGTTTATTTTACAAAAGTAAGATGTACAAACAAATACTGTAAGTGCCAAAGAACTTTTTCTCACAAGATTTGCTTCCTCAATCCAAGGCCAAATAAGTCCTGACAATCATTGACTATCCACCCAAACTTTTCAATGTCTTATCTGAAGCTAACTTTTAAAATTCTTGAGGATAACATCACCACAGAGGCTGGATATATAGTAAATACCTATTAAAATAACTAGTCCATTTCCTAGTGGTGTTCTAGTGCATTTTCCAGTCTTTTACAAATAATAGGGCTGCCTCCATTTCTCATGGGTGGTTATTTTACATCCTAATAGACCTCGTGTTATTCAGCAATGCAGAAAAGGTTGACACCATCACTATTACAGATATTTGATTACTACTGTATTCATTTATAGCCTACCACCCGGGACCATCCATTTTCCATTTCAAGTGCTCTTTAATTCCCACCTCCCTTCTTAGTCCGCATGCTATATCATTTTGCCATTTAGCAGATATTCAATGGGGTTTTTTTTAGTGCATTTTACCGCGAGACTTGTTATTTAACACTTATCTGCATTTGCCATATATTAGCCCAAGTACTTAATGATCTAGGTACTTCATCTGATTGCATTGGTCCTTACTATTTGCTGTGACTGCTAATTAAATACCACTTGCAGACATGGAAAATGGCTTCCACGATCAGTCACTAGGTCATTTACATTTGTCATTCCTTTTTACAGCAACTATTATTTATATTACACCAGTGCCCCTAATGTACTAAGGGGTGGTACAGATGCATCTGCAGATAAAGTCCTTGCCCTCTAGAATTTGCATTCTAAAAAGTTAAATCAAACATATGAAGAAAGAGAGCACCATGCAAACAACTATTTCCATGTGACAACGGTAAAGAATCACAGTAAGAGTTGTTTTCTTCTTACCAGGGCCGGCTCCAGGCTTTGCCGTACTGGCCGCCCTGTTTTTTGTTTTTTTTGTTGGCTTGGGGTGGCCAAAAAGCCAGAGCCGGCCCTGCTTCTTACACTGAAAAAGGAATGTTATCAGGATAATGGTATTATCTATAAAGCTGAGTGTGTGTAAAAGTCTCTCCCTCTATGCTTCATTGTACCACTTATGCCTAGAACCTTCCCGAGCCGCCACCCTCCTAGGCTTCCAGATAGTTTTAAGGAAACTATACACATATCTTCAAAAATTCCCCCTCCTCCCACACTCGGCCTTCTTTCCTGCTACCCTTTCATCAATGTTCAATCCCTTGGCCCAAATTTTCAGAAATTGGCTCTTAAATTGGATGTGCAAAAATGTTGTGTACTCACTGGATGAGGCTGCTCCTGTTACATAACTTTAAGTACATCACATGGTTAAATGAGTCCTGAATTTGGGATGTGCACTATATGTGTTTCTGCATTTACTAATGGACTGGTAGATGGCCTGTGTGGACTCCTGATATCATTAGTATTCCTGCTTTTATACATATGTTAAACATACACACAATCAATTGAAAACCTGCTACTGTATTTACAGTTAATCTATATAACCACATATCCCTATCATTAACCTCATTCTCCCCTACTTAATATCCCCTCCAATTGTTTGTTCTTTTATTTGTTGCATCTTGTATTAGGTTGTAAACTCTTTAGGGCTGGGACTTTCTTCTGCTGTGTGTTTGTACAGCAACTAGCATAAAGAGGTCTTGATTCTGATGAGGCACCCGGTTGCTCATCAAGTAGTAATAAATAATAATAACTTTCTCTTAGAATAACTAAAGCTGGTGAGAGCTGGCCACACTCTTAAATATGACTTTTATCCAACGTTTCATCTATTCCTCCCTCCCCACACCGAGCTGATTTTAAATAAGTATGCAGTTTCATTTTTGGTCTCAAGGCCTCTTTTAGAAAGTGGGGAAATAGCCATTATGCACTCTTAAGTCTTCCTGGATGTTTCTTGATTTGAGTTGATTATTAAGGTAATCTCCTCTTTCTATCACTTCTTTAGATCACTCTTGGATGACCTGAGTTCTTGTAAACTTCAAGCGTCTCTTATTTGTTTCTGTGCAACTTAGTGTACTTTGCAAGTCAGAGTTGCATTCTTGGTAGAAGTTGCATTCTTCCCCTTCTGTTCTGTCTTAAACTGTGAGTGGAGGAAATTGAAGGGTAGAAAGGATGATTTTTGATATCAGAGAAAATAAAATAAAGTAAAAATGTGATCCTGTTCCATTAAGATCCAGGGGCCAGACTGTCCCCAGTACAGAAATAACCCATGGTATAAAAGCTAGGTGTGTGTATGGAAGAATAAAGCTGTAGAAACCATGGATTTTGGAAGGACCAGTGGGAAGGTTATCTTCTTCCATGAGCCAAAGAATAGCTGATACTCTGTAGTTCACATTGGACCTGCACTATCATTGCATATATTCTCTCTGGGGATGCTCAATAGCTGCTGCGGAGGAGATCCAGGGTATGTCTTCACTACCCGCCGATCCGGCGGGTAGCAATCGGTTTATCGGGGATCGACTTACAGCGTCTCGTGAGGACGCGGTAAAATCGATCCCTGATCGCTCTGCCGTCGACTCCGGAAATCCACCTCGACAAGAGGCGGCAGCGGAGTCGGCGGCAGCGGTCGGCTTTCCCCCGTCCTCACCGCCAGGTAAGCCAACCTAAAATACGCAACTTCAGCAACGGTATTCACGTAGCTGAAGTTGCGTATCTTAGGTCGGACCCCCGCTGTAGTGTAGACCTAGCCCCAGAGGGAGATAATACAGCTTATTAGCTCCTACTTGCATTTCCATATGGATATTTTCAGACTATACAGTGGATGGCACCTCCCCTGCACTCCATGGAGCTCCATTCATGCAGAGCTCCAGCACAGCAGCATCTGTGCAGGGCAAGAGAGAAGAGAGCGATGCAGTGGAAACAATACTCTTCTCCATTCCACTGAGGAGTGGAAGAGTAACAAACACTTCTCCATATGCTTCCACAGGGTGACAACCACACCCAGGATTAGCAGGGGCAGGTAAAATTTATCTGAAAACTTTACAGCACAACCAAGAAATTTGCCAAAGCATCTGCTGCACAGATTTTTCTTTTCCATTTCAAAGGAAAAAATGAAGGCAGAGGATCAGATAAGTTGGGAAGAGTGAAAAAAATCCAAATAAAGCATGTTTATTTTGTTTAATTTAGATATGCTATAATATTAAACATTTAATGTAGAATTGAGTAAATGAAGATGGTTTATTAAATACAGATTAACAAATATACTGCTTTCAATTGATGCATCTACATCATACAAATATTATACATCAATAAAACATTTTCTGTTGATCATATACCTTACTTATTATTCATCACCACCAATATTTCTCTAAATGCTATACATTATTTATGTAATGTCTTACTAATTAAAATAACATAGAATTTTCCCCCTTAGGACAGCCTCTTCTCATTCACGGCTGGTTTTGCCAAATTAATTAGGAGGCTGAGGATCGCTGTTTTTTTTTTACCACATTACCTCACAGTACTATATTATGGTTGAAAAACTGGATGGGAGATCCCTGATAACAGATGAATCATTCCATGTTCACCTTCTCACCATCACTCCCCAGGGCATTGGTAGCAGTATCAATCCTGTTAGCATAGGCAGTGACCATATAAAACAATACCACTGAACCATCAAGGGAGGCACTTAATGATGCAACATCAATAAATAAGCTACATGCTTATGGGTCATTATACACCTTTAATTTAATAAATAATTAACCTCCTTACCTTAAATACTAGTTCTCCGATCAGTCCATTCCATGACCCATCCTCTTGGGGGCTTCCATACTTGTGATCTGGTGCAACATAAATTTCATATTTAAAGCCAAGGTAATTAGCTAAGGCTTCCAAGACATCTACTGAGAAACCCTGGTATTTCTTCGGTTTTCCCAAAACATTTTCGGACACCATCACAAATGGCTCCTCCTACATAGAGAGAAAGGTAGTAATATAACCAGTTATTGCACTGACTAAAAAGGAGGCTAATTTTTTTTTAAAAATTATCAGAAATTTTATTTTATGTTTTCAAGAAACTAGAAAATTAACTGTGGGCCTAATATTGCAGCTCTTACTCACAGTGAGTGATACCTTACTCTGCAGCTAATCCCACTATTTAAATAGGACTAGCTATTAGACTCAGATACCCAGATTCTGATATCCTTACTCACACTGAAATCATCCCATTGTAGTTGCTCTGTGGTCTGTCCCATTTTAGTTAATGGGATGATTTGTGAAGTAAAGAATGTTGATAACGCCTAGAATTTTATTGAGAGACTCATGTTATTTCTTTTTGAAAAACTTTTTAGTTTTTAGCCCTCCTGTTTGGGAATTAGAAATTGAAAAAGTGACCCAAGTGCATCCTAAAGGCTCAAGAACCAGAAGACAAACAAACAGAACCCAAAATGTATTTACCAAAAAACCTCATGATTTTGGGGGCCTCACCGAGGATTTTTGAATGGTGGGGGCTGGCACCACTGAGTAAGATGCTATTGAACTGGAGTAAGGCATCAGAGTCTGGTACATATTATTTGCATCTTCAAAAGGTATTATATACAGAAAGAAGATTTCACACTTGTTTTAAAATGCATCTGTGCTTTTTATGTTTATATATATTCAATAAATTATTATTTTGAAATAAGCTTTTGAATTACACTATACACTGTTAATGATGTCTCATAGGCTCTGTTAAATATTATTTGCTGAAGATCTAGTTCTTGCAGATATTGTTAAAGTCATTGATTTGTTTTCTGTTGTATATTTCAAAAATAAGTCAAAAGACTGTAATATCAAATGCCTCTCGGTACAGGATTCTTCTGCTTGGGCAATTTAATTTCAGTCCTGCACAGATATGCACAGAGAATGACTACTCATAAACATGAAGGATTCCACAGGGTTGTCATTTTCTATTGAGTACAAAAATCCAATACATCTGACAAATAAATGCCATCATTAACTAACATTGTAGGCTAAAACTGGACAAGAAGAAGCCACATACTTGAAAGACTAACATTTTTCTTGTCCTTCTCTTCCTCCACTGTCAGGGCCGGCTCTAGGTTTTTTGCCGCCCCAAGCAAAAAAATTTTTGGCTGCCCCCCACCCCAGCCCTGGGCTCCCCCCGCATCCCACTGCCCCTCAACCCTGGGCTCTCACCCGCACCCCTTGCCACCCCAACCCTGGGCTCTCCACCCCACCCGCACCCCCTGCCGCCCCAGCGCTGGGCTCCCCCACACCAGTGCTGACTCCACCCACTCCCCACTCGCTTCCAGCCAGTCTGGCGCTGGCAGGGTCGGGGAAAGCAGCGGGGCTCCCGGGCCCCACCTCAGCCCAGGGTCCCTCCAGCCGGGGCTCCCGCCTCCAGGACCGGCCAGGACCTGTGAGGGCAGAGCTGGGGGACCGCCCCAGCAGGGGGCTGAGGAGTCGGGGCGGGACAGGGCAGGCCCAGAAGGAGCGGAGCCCCAGAGAGTGGGACGCAGGCCCCACACAGCAGCGCCCCGGGCACCGGTCCCCTCTATGGCCCTGCTGCTGCTCCTGGCCGCCCTGCCACAGCCCCTGGGCGGCTTGGCCGCTTCGCCCAGGCCCTACTGCTGCTCTGGGGGGTGGGCAGCCGCCCTGCGGCACCTGCATGCGGCTCCGTGCGCCCCGCGGGGTAGCCCCCAGCCCAAGTGTCCCGTGCTCGGAACCTGCCCGGCCATACGGTGCTGGCGCTGCTTGCCGATGCGAACCGCAGCGGCTCCAGGGCGCCCCCCCCCGTGCAGGACGCGCTGCTGCCCCAAGCAAAAAAAAAGGATGGCCGGAATGCCGCCCCTGAAAATGTGCCGCCCCAAGCACGTGCTTGGTTTGCCTGTGCCTGGAGCTGGCCCTGTCCACTGTAAACTGGAAACACCAGATTATCCATTTATAACATGACAAGACAAACTGGTTGACATTATTTTAAATGATTTCACCTAGCAGATACTAAGTAGATTATTTTAAGAAGCAGGTGGGTTTGCCTCTGAAAAGATGACTTTGCAAATATTCAGCAAAGGATGTCCTTAGTATCTGACATTGCATTGGTGAGTTAGTTTGTCCATAGATAAGACTTCCCAGTTAGTACCATTTTCTTTCATTTTTCACCAAGATCTGTAAATGTGGTTTAGTTTTAAGTTAAGCCACTCCGCAATATAGTCTCTGCACTTCCAAGGTTGTTTTAACCAATATTTTTTACTTTCGTTTTTTCCCTACATTATATTTTCTGTTGTATGTTTTTTCCACATTTTTGATAAAAGAAAAAGACAGCCAAAATCATATTTCTGAGTACAAGAAAGTTTTGATTGCCACACAGCTAGCTAACGGGTGATTGATTTGGGAGTTCTCATCTGGGCTTTCATTTTGCTGATCATCTGAGAAAATATCTCCACTCTGCCTATCATCTCTCATTCACAATTGAGAGATTGACTCCCACCTCTGATTAGCCAATGATGCCAGCCTCCATAGCCCACTTGTAAAATTTTCAAACAAGCACTTTCATGCTTTTTCTCATGCTGCCCCTCACATTTGAGTCCACTGCCTATTATGCTGACCGATATCATCTCATTGGTTCCTTGTATTCCCCCATCGATTTGTCTATATCCATCTGTTGTCTTGCATATAGTCTGTAAGCTCTTTGAGGCTGGGACCAAGACTGCATGCACCCAATTCTCTGTCACTCCCTGACCTCCTGCTCCTAGTGTTTGTAGCCCACAACTCTATGTAGAGGAAGGATCTTATTGCTCTGTGTGGATTTGTAATCCAAGTCCTCATCAAGTATGTAGTGATTTTGCCACACACAAGGGTAACTCTAAAAATGATGTTCCATATCTCCTTATTTGTTCAACTCTTTCAGTGATATCCAGATGAGATGTACTGTTAACATGTAAAAAGGGTTTGTTTAGTTTTTATTCCCCTCTGAAAACACAACATGGATCTGAAAGTCAAGCTGCATTATCTTTTTGTATCTCACACATTGTCACCAGTAATGAAGATTCCGTTGTCAGATCTTAGCGGAGTATTTTGCACATTGCACAAGGTAGAAAATAATCCAGCTGTACTGGCTCACAATTGTAATTTTGTCAATAACGTAAGTAGATATGACTCAAAGACACACAGAAGACAGATATTTTGAACAAGGTGACATTTTTAGAGACTGTTGTCACTGTCCTGACTATAACTACATGTTAAGGACACTGTCAAACAAATAAGCACATGACCGGATTGTGTTGGCAAACCATTCTTTTATGATTCTCAGGGGGAAGGAAGTGTTGACTTATTTGTCAAGATATTACTATGCATCTGTCAATCTCTACTGTTTTCTTTCAAATCACATGTACAATCATCCGAAATGATAGGGGGATGGCCTAGATGACCTTGAAGTCCCTTCCAGTCCTATGTTTTTATGATTCTAAAATCGGCCAGAATAAATAAAAATGGAAAGCAACAACTGAACCCAATCCATTAAGTTATTTTCTAGAGATTGGGTCCAAAGATCATTAAAAGAATTGAGACTAAGTCAATGAAGACCTGTCTGCCTATTAACGAAAACAAACTGTGAATTCTGATTTGCTGATCATTTGGATGACAGATTCCCTAAGCAGAAACGCAAGTTAGAGAAATAAATGAATACTCCCCCCAAAACATCTGCAGTTTATCAATCTAAGGGCATTATGCACAAAGTTCCTGCTTGTAGAATAGGGTGTTCCAGGAGTTGATAATTTTCATATTAGCAAGGATTTATTCACAACACTTGTTGGGTTATTAGATAATAGCTGCTCATAATTCTGAATTTGTATTCAATCAGCTTAAAAGCACCAGCTAATTGCTTAGCCGATTTTAAACAGCATTTAAAGTGTGCAGCTTTCACCATTAATTTCAATCTTTTATTAAACTAGGTAATATTCTTTGTTGGTGAGAGAGTCAAAAAGAAAAAAGGTGTCCAGTGTGTCAGAAGGGTAACAAGATATAATCTCCCACATTGCTATGTGGAAAGATGTTCAGACGTGCACATTTTTCTTGATTATTAGGAAAGCAAAAAACGACCACTAAACAAACCCAAAACAAAACAAAATTCATCACTAACTTTCTTGTAATATGTTATGGGTACTCAAAAAACATTCAAGAGAAAACAAAAATACTTCTTACATGTGGTTTTTGATTTCCTCCCTCCCCCAAAATGCTGCTGTCTGAAACTACAGTAGTGGTTTTTTGATCCTGTGTTTAGAGAGGGAGAGTGACATTTCCCTAACAATATGTGAAAACAAAAAAGAGTGACCATCTTTCTTCTTGAGAAAACAGGACAATTAATTTTTTTTTTAAATTTGTCATGTGCTGAACAGGAACAATTAGGGGAATAAAAAGTGGGATTGTGTTAGGGTGGGAGACACAAACATGCATGCTAGGTACAGGAAAGAAGATTGAAGGTGGCAGGTAGGCAATGAAGCTTCCTGCAGGCTACAGTAAACCAAAAAATCTTGACCCCGTTTTTCCATGGAAATAAGGGGGTCAGTCAGACTACTGTGGGATGGACCACAAAGTGACTCTTTACTCAAGTCCTATTGAGCTGGCGAAGGGAAGAAAATGAGCCTCTCTGTCTCTCCCACTCAAGGACTGCAGGAATTACCTCTGCAGAGGGATTCAGTAACCCCCACAGAGCAGCTGGTGGGGATGCGGTGAAGAAAGAGGGGCCTGGGGAGATAGGGGCTCACAGGAAGCCCTACAATCAATTAATACGATCACTTGTGAATCGGTGGATTGACTGGATCCCAGGGGTTCTGCTGCTCCCCCTTTACTTCAGTTGGCCTGTGATGGAGCTTCTTCTGCCTCAGTGGATCCCATAGCCATCTGACAGCTACAGGTCAGAATTTGACCCAACAAGATTAGCCGGAGAGAAGAGAAAATGAGAAGTGAATGTAAAG